TATTCTGCTTTGCTTGATAGTACCAGGTTCAAAAGTTTAGGCAACAGCTGTGAAGATAGTGGGATTCATTATGACACCCATCCTGGTTGACTATTATCTACTTTTGAAGACCAGTAATGTCTCCAATGTTTTGGTCTTGTTGGTTTCGTTCTTTACTGTTTTGTTCAATTTTATTATAACTGATGATATAGGCAACTCTATTTGAGATAGTGGGAGGCACTATGGTAACCATTGTTGATCACTTTGTATTATGTTTCTACATTATCTATTGTGTCCACCCTTTTGATTTAACCAATCCTGTTCTGTTAAGTCACATTTGGTTTTACTCTCTTCCAAAAAAAAGCAATAAGAATTGTGGGAGCAATAAAACCCAAAATGTGTAATAGTCATTGTACAAAAGAGAGGAAAAGAAAGTGCTCTAAATGGTATAACTGCATGTAAATTTAACTGTATAAGATAGACAATATTACTGAATTTTGTTGGATCATTGAATAGAACTGTTTGCAGTCTCACTGTTTGAATGTCCACTTTATATGCTTTAATCTTGTAACTTGAACAAATATTTCTAAGATGACAATATGTAATCCATTAACTAGTGATTTCCTACTGTTTATTTTTTTTCTGAAATTCTGTATAACTTGTACCCTTTTTCTGCTTTTTTTTTTCCTTTTTCTCCTTAAATAAAAAAAAATTGAATCACAACAACAACAACAAAATTTAGGCAATAATTTAGGGCATACCAATCTTTGAGTTACTTCTCTTTTCTCTTCCAGTCAGTCACACACTGAATGTTCAGGAGCCCTAGCTGTAGGAGCCCTGGCACTAGGAAATGTGTGTGCAATACAATGTAGGCAGAGACAGTGTAGGTCACAGGAGACCCTGGTTGTGCTCTCCAGCATCACAAATATATGTATATAGTAAAAGCAGACACTTAAGCAGTAATCTCATAGCAGAACGTGCTAGGTATTATAATGAAAATGGGCATGGGAACACTTGTTCTTCCCAGCAAGTCAGGAAAAATCATCTGATATGCATGTTGGGATATCATCCTAATGACTAAGACCTGCATCTGTCACTCTCAATACAGAGAAGGACATACTAAAAGGATATTTCAAGGCTAGGCCTCCAGCCTTAGTCTCAGCTCCCCAGAGACCCTATGGCCATCTGCAGAGCTCTGTTCTCAGTCATCCTGTATATGTAGCTTCTTACTTTTCTGATCTAGGAAACATATTCAAATGTCCTTCAATTAATCTACACATCTAAATAACTGATCTAACAGGGTAAATAGATGCGCATCCTCACACATGAAGCTTTGGTGTGCTGGCATGGTTGACTCTTGCTTCTGAGTCATTACGAGATTACCTGCCCCTCCAAAAACTATCCTGGAGAGAGGAAGGATTTGAGAGCCTGACTTGTGAATGATCTGATGAGGTTCTTTTCTGCTGAAAGATCAGCTATAATTAAAAGGATCAAAACTTACTCACTAGGTTCTCTGCAGACATCCTTTATTGCATCTCCTCTGTTTGTTTTAGTAAGTAGATGACTCTCACATGTGGCTAGTTTGGGGCGGAGGGTGATTGAGCATCTCCTTAAAGAAGTCCCTAAATAAATCACACTGAGAAACCCACCATTACCCTTCCCTTTCCTTCAATTCATTAAGAACACTATAATTAGCTGAAAGCACCTCCATCATCATCTACGGAAACTCAACTGAGGACTTTACTCTTGCAGTAACAATTTTTAATTCTCATACGCTGGATCTGGTGTGCACTATGAACAGCAGTGCCACTTGACCATTGTGGAGTTCAGCTCCTCACCGACTGAAGGAACACTGCCTAAAATACCATGAGTCATAAGGCGTCTACAATTTTTATTCGATTAGTGTCAACTTTTAATTTTAGCCTTGCCCTCAATCTTTTAGGCTATTTCCCCAGGCCTGATCTATTCTTTCTTTCCCCTACCAAGTTTCAGCAGCGATATCTTAAGAACTGCCTCTCATTCCACGTAAATTTTAATATTCTTAAACACGCTTTTCTCTCTTCCCTCAACCTCGTCCCATCCTTCAAGAACCACACAAGCCCAAGCTCAGCGAAGTCTCCACAGCCTTGGAACAGCTCAGCCTAGCATCTGAGCACAGGCTGCAGCTTGTTCTGTGAGTTCTCCAGCGCCACCCTGCTACGCCTCTCCACCCACCCTCTCTGCCCCTAGCCGCGTCTCCACCCTGAGATAGTTAGGCCTGTATCTTCACTGCCCACCCCGGGAGCTAGTCTGCCTGCTTACTGTTCACTAGAAGAGGAAAAAAACTGAGCAGCCTCAAAGCTCTTGGGGAGGCCTTGGGGAGAAATGGATTCTTTGACAGTCACTTCCAATAAGGTTTGTTTTGGGGTTTTATTTTGTTTTATCCTTACCATAACTCTTCACGAGAAGTATCATTCAAAGTATGTGGGTTAAAGACCCACATACCCTGGAGAAAATATAAATTATTCGATATAACACAGGAAAGAACTAGGTTTAGCAACTATGTCATACAAAATCGATTTACATTAATTCAGTCACACACTTGAAAATGACAAAAATTAAAACTGCAAAAATTATGTATATTTCTATGATAAAATAATAGCTAACACTTATTCAACGCAACTTTATTCCTAACAAATATACTACCTCTTGTAAATCTCCTCAGTGGGAGGTAAGTACTGACCAGCCCTATTTACCAGTAAGAAACTGAGGTGCATAGAGCTTAAATAACTTTTCCAGCTTTATATAAATGGTTGGACCAAAGTTGGGACCCAGGCTGACACATTTCATGACTTCCCTCTATACAAGAAATTTATAACTTGATAACATCATGTAGGGTTATAGTCACAAAATCAGGTACAGTGCTATTTATGGGTAACAAGGGTTTTCATAAGTTTTTATGATCAAAATAATTTTGGTTCCATCCACTTACTTTATAATAATCTCATTTTTTACTTTCAGGATAAAATTTACAGGGGGAAACAGAATTTTTTAAAATTTTGTAGTGATGTAAACTATTTTAATGCAACAAATTGCTTTTAATAATACATTCTTTCTAGTTACTTTTAGCAAATTACAATATAGATCTTAGCATAGATCAATATAAATAGAATACTCAATGTAAACTAATATCCTAGTGTATCTACAAATGGAGTAGCAATATTAAAAGCCCCACAAAAATGATAACCTATGTGCCACTATTTAAGCAATCTTCAAATCAGAAGTATCAGCAAACTGAAGAAAGACCTACTTTTGCTCCTACGTACAAAATCAACAAACCTTGGAGCCTACATTTTGATTATTGGTCTGATATTTCAATTGCTGGCTGAAGTTTCCATTTTTTTTTCATACCTATGAAAATAATGCAACTTCTTTTGGTTCATCTCAGGAATGCCTGGGAGTATGTTTTTCAACTTACTGTCTTTTGTAAAGAAGCAACTGTAAATAAAAACAACAGTTCTACTCAAAACTGAGAATTATTTCCTCTAAAACTGCATGGAATGTGTGTGTGATCACCAAAGTACATAAAAATAACATTTGATATCCTATAGGATACAAAGCTTTACCATACCAAAAATCATCAGGGAATTCTACATTACACTAAGAACAAATTGCAATTTTTCTTAACACAATCTCAAAATTCCCTTTCTCTTAAATTTAGAAGAAATTATTCTAATGACAGATATATTTCTTTCCTAGCATCACAAAGTGTCAGAACTAGAAGCTGCCTCATCTTCTAGAAGAGAACTCTGACACTCAAGAGTTATAGCAACTTCGTTTAAGGTGTAACATTTTAAAATGAATGATAGTAAAACCTTATAAACGTCAACCACAACTTTCTCCAATATTATCAAGAAAACTCATCTGCAATATCATAAATACTGCAGTACTTTTAAAAAATTAGTTTATCTTCTTACGGTTTCTGTGTCTTAAAGTATTTGAAATGCTTTGCCTTCAAAATTAAGTTCTATGTGAGTAACATAAGTTGGTACAGAAAAATAGCAAACACAATGTGAAGTTACGTTTATAGGGAACACCTACTCAGAAAAATGAAACAAGTTTAACGAGTTCTTACTGAGACCTTCCATTAACTAGACCTATTAATTTAGCAAAATAATAGTAATACCCATATAAAGCAAATGTGGTAGCTAGTAGGATAATAAGATTACAGTGAACATAGAACAGTAGGCAAAGCCTTCCTGAATTGCACAAGTTTTCTTCCAATTCAACATGTACATGCATCATAAGCCTCAAGTGAGGTAAATGTGCTTATGGTATCACTACGGGAGGTATCACTATATATATTTAGGCAGCAAAAGGACAAATACATAGCTAGGCAGTAAAAGAAAGTCCATTCATCTTCTAGTAGGGTCTCTTAGGGTTTACTGTTTAAGTCAATTTTTTAAATTCAATTGTTATCATTTCAGAAATTTCAGGTGTGTAACTTCTAATTTCTTTTGTGTCTATATTTTCTGGACTTGTTCTGGGTGGGCTGGAGGTCTCAGACTATACACCCTGCTCCTTGGTCTTGACATTTTCCTGTGTTCCACCAAATCAGCCAATTGCTAAATCTTAGGTGTTCCAGGGGCTGAGGATTTAGCTCAGCAGCATAAGCACCTGCCTTGCAAGCAGGCAGTCGTGAGTTCGATCCTCAGTACCAATTAAAAAAAAAAAAATGAAAAAGACAAAAAAAAACACTTAGGTGTTTCCCACATTGGCTGCCTATCCCTTTGTGCAGGGGGTTGGGTGAGGAACCGGGGTCCTCCAGTCCAAGGTTCCTGGGATGGTGGAGAGGTGCAAGGCAGCTGCTCATTGATGTTCTCCTAATGGTGGCAGGACCCCAGGTGTGGCTTCCTGTCCTCAGGGATTGGGGTAGCAGGCTCACTGGGAGATGTGGGCTCCACCACTCCTGGCCTGTGGACTCACTTGAGTGTGTGGCTTGCTCTCCTCCAGGCCCACATTAGCAGGCTCACCAGGGATGAGTTGTTTTTTTTCTAATGAATTGAACATTACATTGCTGAAGCTCTGAAGTGGCCCACAGATCATAGAAAGACAGCACTTTAGGCTCCAGCTTGAAAGCAACAGCTTTAGAAAACTGCTGGCCTTGATTCAAGGCCATTATCAACTTTTTATACAATAGTTAGTAGGTACAGCAACTACTTGTAAGTGCTTCAAATATTTTTGAAATAATAAAAACCATATTGATGAATTGCTATTGGTTATAAATGCTATCTTATACCCTTTCATGTTCATAGCTTAAATGTTCTCAAATGGTTTCTATTTTTAGAGTAGGAAATTCCCCTTTTAAATATTATATACCTTATATTTATGTCTTTATATACTCCTACTGATGTTTGTCAAGAAAATATTTAAAGACTAAGGTTGTAATTAATCAATTTAATTTATAGTTTGATTTATTATATTTTATAAATAGCACACTTTTGTGAATATTTCTAAGTTTGACTATTTGGAAGTGTTTAGTAACTTTTTCATTCTAAATAATTAATGAAGGATATATAAATTTGGATCTACCAATCACTTAGTCAATAATGATAAATAAATATATCAGAGGCTTCCTGGAGTAATTAGAGCCCACTGAGTTTCCTGGTTAAAATTTGAGTTCCTCTGACCTATAGATAATAAATAATGCAAATGTAAAAACTAATACTTTCATTTTACTCCATAAAACATCAGTTCTTTTTTCTGAAGGATATCTTGGGTCCTTAGTACCTAGCATAGCATTGTACACTAAATAAGAACTCACTGTGTGACTATTTGATACATGAATAAATGATTACATCCTGCTGTTAAGATCTTTTCTGTACATAACAATGAGTGATTATTCTTAACTCAAGTGAGTATTTGCTGGGGTCTAAGGAGCAGGTGGCATCTCACCCATGCCTTAGGGTGTGGTCTTTCTTTTGCCATTTACCTCACAGGAAAGAGAGTTTCTTTTCAAAGGAAAGGAAACCCCTGAAATTCAAATTGCTTCTCCCCAAGGATCTTGGCAGATGGAAACCTTGACCCAAGCAGAGCTTTATAGGTAAGGTCTCCTCCAGTGACCAAAACAACTGTCTTCCCACACTTAGGAAGAAAGATGCAAAGATTTCACAATAGGTCATCTAGTACCCTGGAATTTTTTTTCAAGTTCCAAACTCTTGACAATAAACAAACAAACAAGACCAACCAGAAAAATGAGATCTTTAATATATTGTGCAGAGTTGATGGCAAACACATAACACACCAACACACACATATATACACCAGTACAAACACACCGTCTCCCCCTTCCCCGCTCCAGGCTATGAGCGTCCTCTAGAAAGAAGAAACATAACAGACAACACTGATAAATCATTAAGGAAACTCTTGGAAAAGAATACCTAGTATTTAAGAGTGTGGTTTTGGGGTCATGGTTGTATAAATAAAATGGATATGAAACTTTCCCATCCGTGCTGTTTCCCAACTTGTGCTGACGAGAAGTTTATCATCCTAAGAAGATGCCTCACACATGAGCCACACAGACCAACTGTTGTACACGCACCAGGAAAGTAGATCTCAGTGTTCAGGAAAATAACTCTGATGTGGGCTGGCATTAGCAAGTAGGTAATGGTGGCACAGCCACCTGCCAGGGTGTGTCCCAGGGAGGACGACAGCCCACTAGGAACACCAGGCCTGGGAGGCCCTTGACAACCCACTCTGGGGCTGGAGGAGGTTGCTCACCTGGAGCTCCCACAGGAACAAAGAAGGCAGGGCCTGTTTCAGCAAGGCCCACCCCAGGAACAGCTGCTTGCCTGGTCCTGCCTCTTCCAGCTCCAGAGGCTTTGGCTCCCCGTAACTCCAGCTCCACCTGTGTTTCCCTCCTCGCACGCTCCCCCATCGGCAGAGGCCCCCCACCTCCCACACAAACCCAGCTAAGACTATGGAGACTCATCTCACCTCTAACGCAGTTTTTTCTCTGTTTTTTCTCTTTGTTTCCACTTACAGAATTTTATACAAACTTCTGTTACAGATATTGCCATAGAACATTTTAATCCATTTTTACCTACATGGACTTTCCCCAACAAGTTGTAATAAACCACACATATCACTTATCTTCTTATAGACTCACATAACAGCACACTGCATACTTAGTAAAGAGGTTGATGCATTCTGCTTCAGGGTCAGTGGGGAAAACTCTTTCACCCCCTGGTAGCTTCCGCTGAGGATGCTCAGCCACTGGCAACCTCTCATGCCCACTTGGTGACGATCACTATCTGTGCTCTCAAGACAATGTCCCCATGATCTTCAGGACTCATAATGAAGTTTGGATTGAATGGGGCTAAGATTGCTGAAGGCAAGAGCAGAAGAGCCATTTGGCTATCCCTGCTATAGTAAAGACCATGAAAGGATACTCTAGGATTTGAAATACTGCTATCATCAAGATTAATTCCTCCCACTGACTATAAGATCATTCCTAACCATATCTTTCAAATTGATGGTACTTCCTAATTACTTCTCAGTTCCTTACTATAAATATAGTTTCTTGGTCCCTGTCTCTTGAAATGTGGATTTAATAACATAATATGTGACCTCAGAATCCACATTTTAAGTACATTTTCTAAAATAATTTTCTATGTAATTTACTAAGTGGGACATTCATTACTATCAAATTTATACTTCTATAGAAAAGTAAATATTCTTTGGTAAAAGATTTGTCAAGATCTTGCAATTAATCCTTGATATTAGTTTGAGTTAGTTCAACTTATTACTCCTCAAACTAACTTGATCCAAGATTCCTGATAGAATTAGGTATTACCACTACATGTATTCTCTTTTAATATCTCTGATGTATGTAGATTTTTCTGGGTGTTCATCACACTGGCTGTAAGTCTACAATTCTATGACTCATAATATACAAGTTTGACTGCTTGGATGTGTGCTACCAGAGGTTAGTCATCAGCATTTCATAGCGCCTGCCTGATTATATCATGGGATTTTGATGATGTTTGCAGTAGCTTGAGTTGAAAAACCCTCCCAACTACCAGACGCATGTTTTAAAACCTGGTTTCTTAATGTAACTTTTGTCATAATTGCCAAAATTAATTAGATGCTCACTGACTGCTACTTAAATTCTTGAAGTCACCAACAATAGAAAAAAAATCACACACACACATACATGCACACACACACAATCTCACTGCTTGAGTGACTTAAAGTGAAGAAGAAATGGGTGCTTCAACAAGTACAAATAATTCCCGTACTTCATTCAAGAAATAATGATGTGGAAGTAACTGTGAGACAGAGTCAAGGGACATAGTGTTAGAACTAAGGTGGAAGAATCTTAAAAGTGATATTGTAATTTAATTTAACATTTTATCTCACATATGCTGGAACCTCATGCTAAAGAAGACAGAAGGAGACATGTTTCTCAAGGACCTTTTAACTTCCCAGGACATATATGCAGGGCCACAGCACAAATCATGCCATCGTTAACACCTGTCCCCATGGCCACATCCTATACCTTATGAAATCATTCCACTTTAACCAAGTAAAATCTAATACGAAGATTTTTAGGCCACAATCTACTGTCCCTCTAGAAACCTCACTCTTTTTGTCCCATTGATTCTTATGCCAATATATACTGCATTTATCCAGAATTAATCACTTATTAGACCTAGCTTTCATTTCCTTCACTTTCCAGAAGACACCATATAATCAGATGCTTTGAGTATTCTTGCCAATACTAACCTTCATATGAGTCATGGTGCATCTGAAATTCATCAGAAAGAATCTATTTTCAGATTTGATGGCTGCCCCCTCGTATTTTTCACCCTCTCAAATCTGTCAACAAAGTTTGAAATATACATCCTTCATATTTGAAACTCCATTTGGCTTTAGTTCATATATCCATTTATTCAAAAATATTTGTTGGACAAAGTCATATGCTACGTCTCTAGAATATAATTTTGACCAAAATAACATCGTTCCATAACAGTTTGGTGATAACAGTGGAAAGTAAACAATCACACAAATAAACATAAACTTGCAAATATAGTAACTGCAAAGGAGGAGTAGTTCAGGGCTGAGAGAGCATCCTTTGGATGGAATATAGTACAAGATGAGCCTGAAAAGTTGGGTCTTCATGAGATAATTCAGGATCCTATAGCCCAGACTAAGGACAATCGTTCACCTTTATCCTCCAGGTCATTAAAAAATATTTTAAACAGGTTAATGTACTCAACCTTTCTCTTCAAAATAATTGCTGACCTCTGACATACTCAGACTGTGAGCTGGCCAGAAGGGGCAGAGCCCTGCAACAGTGATAGTAGAGAGGGACGATAATTACTTGGGTGGGCAGAGGTGTTCAAGATGGAGAAAAAATAATGAAGCTGAGAGACATTTTAAACGTCAAATCCGTAGATCTTTGTAATGGAAAAATAAGAGACAGACTTAGATAATAGTCTTGGGTTTCTGTCTCACACGATTAGAAGATAGCTGGTCTTACTGTCTGGGAAGTGTACTCTGGTAAAGATGAAAGCTTGAGTTTTCAGTACATTGACTTTAAATTGCATTTTGAAACTTCCAAAGAAATACCAAGTAAGAATTTAGATGGCATGTTCAAAGTTTGGAGAAAATACAATCTCTAAGTGACTAAATCTATCAATACTATTATTGCATGACATCACTCCAGAAGAAACTACAGAAAAGAAATAAGGTAGAGAATAAAGTTTTATAAGACAAGTACATTGAACAGATAGTTAAAGAAGAACATGGCAGCAAAGAAATAGAAAAGTAAGAACCAGAAAGTGGGGAAGAAAATCAAGAAAATGTTTGTGCTCTCCTGAGTTTTCTCCTGTCTTTAGGACTATTCGGGAAACTTTTAATCTTGAAGCTCTGCCTTTGATTTAAGTCACACAGGCTGGAACTGGTTTTATCACTTGTTTGCCACTTCTGCTTCATTTTTAAAAGCAAAAGTAATCATGAAAGTTTATCCTTCAGTACTTTTATACCATTTTCTTTATTCTTTCTACAAATGATTTCCTCCATTAGTGCAATTTGATTAACACCTTTAAACTGACAACTGTTATATACATGTCTCTAATATTCCTTTCTTTGTCATCAGATGAACGCTTAACACTA